ATTTCTTCCATTAAATCAGACATTTTAAATTATAAAATATTAATTTTTGCAAAATTATTTTATGAATAATTTGTATGATATTATGTCCATAAATTTTAATATGTAAAGTTGTAATATTTGCATAAAAATTATGTAATATTTACACTTGATGTAATAATTGCATAATTTTTGTATGCTTATTTGCATAATATTTAATATAATGTATCTAAATCTCAAGTGTGGTTTAATATAAAATATTTAGTGAAAAATAAGAAAAATTATATATACATTTTTTTTTTCAATTGAAATTTTTTGAAATTTCATTGATCTCTCCTCAAAACTACATATTTTTTTCTGAACTTTTCCTAATTATTATATACAATAAAATATATCAAAATTTCAAGTGTGGTTAAATGTAAAATACTTAGTGAAAAGTGAGGAAAACTATGTATTTATTGTTTTCTTTTCAATTGAACTTTTAAAATTTCCCAAAAATAGCAACACTATTTTTAATTTTTTTGTGAACTCTCTTTAATTAGCATCTATAACCTATTATATCAAAAATTTCAAGTGTGGTTAAATATAAAACATAGTAAGAAAAAACTGATGATAACTATACATGTAGCCCAAAGTATTTTGACACTGTCATAAAGGGAGTTACACATGTAGTAAGGGGGTGTTACACTTATGTTTTTAATAGTGAGTGCCGTAATTAATTTCTACTTTCTACCATCAAAATCACCAAACCAATTTGGGCTGGATGTATAATGATAACATTTTTTTAATGAATTATTGAGTTGGTTAAGTAGTAGTAGTGGCAGTAGATTCTTGATTTAATTGAGTAGTGGTGCAGCAGCAACTAATTCTTGGTTTAGTTGAGTAGCAGCAGCAGCAGCAGCAATGGATTCTTGAGTTGGTAGAGTTGTATGTATTTTATATTTTAATCTATGAAGGCTTGAATTACGGCTATTACAAAGCAAAAAAGAAAAACTTTTGGTGAAACTAAAACCATATCTATAATATCTATTTTTTTTCTTTCAATAAAAGTATTTGTTGCGAGTATAGGGACATTCAGTATGGTATAACTCTTGCAAAACATATGGTATGGTATTGTATAAGTGTAATAAAATGGTTGTATACCAATGCTTAAATCTAACATACTTCCCTTCACACCCACCAAAAAAGGATTTAGAATAAAATTTTGTGTGACTTGGTATGGAAAAATATGGGCTATACCATACCATACCATACGTTCTGCAAGAGTTATACCATACTGAATCTCTCCCTACCGATTTGTTGCTCTTTTAAAGTATTTGAGGTCAGATCAAATTTTCTTGAATTAAAATTATTGTTTTGTTTTTTTAACAGATTTTGTTTTCCAATTCACAATCACAATCTAGAAAAGTTTGATCTACTTTGCATCTAAGGCAGATTTGACATAAAAAACATGTCCAATTAAATATTCCCTAGAAAAAATATCTTGTTTATCCATCCCTGGCTAAACAAAATTTGAAAAATAATTATTATAATTATCAATTATTCAAAAGATTTCATTGGAAAAACATTATCATCAGTCTTTTCTTACTATGTTTTATATTTAACCACACTTGAAATTTTTGATATAATATGTTATAGATGCTAATTAAAGAGAGTTCACAAAAAAATTAAAAATAGTGTTGCTATTTTTGGGAAATTTCAAAAAGTTCAATTGAAAAGAAAACAATAAATACATAGTGTTACCGGAATTAGATTCTGATGGGGATATTTTGGACGAATCTCGTAATTCCGGATCAAATTAATTATATTTCTATTTTTTATTTATTATTTATTTTTAATTTATTTTTATATTTATCATTTTCTATTTTTATTTTTCCATTTATTAGAACTATAAAAAAACTGACATTGAATCGTAAAAAAACAATAAAACCGGCCTAACTGAAGAGTTTCACAGGGATGAACTGATTTCATAAGAATTAAGAATAGGACATGGATAAGGATATGACAATGATATGACAATGACAGACAATGATAATGGAATTATCATTAGGATAAAATAATTTTTGGGAACAAATTTTTTACCTTCGTTGGGTGTTTGATTTAAAAAAAGAATCAAAACTTCTGATTGAAATTGGTTCAAATCAAATTGAATAATATTATTGAAACTTTCTTTATGATTCAATTAAATAAATGTCTGTACTTTTTTTTTAATGTATAGAGTGTAAACTAACATTGTTACAAATTTTTTGTAGAATTTGTTTAGTTTAGAACTAAGAAAATTCAGGATTTAATTTATTTAATTCAATATTAATTATTTTATTGTTCTTATAATAATAAGAAATTTTATTTCTTGTAAACATGTTTTGTTAGTGGTTTTGTCAATTCAATTTCTTATAAATTTCCTTGAATTTTCTATAAATACTTTTCTTGATGATTTTGTTAAGTTGACTTTTTGTAAATTTCTTGTAAATGTTTTCATTTTCCACAGAAATTTACGTTCTCTTGTAAATTTGCCATGAATTTTTTGTATTACAAAAAATTCATGGAAATTTCTTATAAACTTTCTGCAAACTTTTTCATATAGAATAAGATTCGTGTAAATTTTTAATAATTTTCCTGTAACTTTTCTGTAAAACCTTTTTTCATAGGGCAACAACAAGGCTTATTACACCATTCTTTAAATTTTGAATTTTATACTGATGGATCACTTATAAATCTAGGTAAAGAAACAATAAAATGGGCATTGCTTATATTCAAACACATCCAGGCTTCCCGCATTAGAATTTGGAGTATCAGTAAAAAAAAAGGCTTTCTGCAACATGTGCTGAAATTGCAGCTATAACAATTGCTTTATTAATTGCATCTAAAGACTCTAAAGTTACTATTTTCACAGATATTAAATCAACAATAGATCAATTTAACGATCCAATTTTAGAGTTCAAGCAGATTGGAATACAAGTTATGTAATATAGTTATATAAATATCAAGAAATTTAAGTGAACAGGTTTATCTCCAAACCTGTTAACAATCACAGTTTTTTATCATTATGCACAATAAAATAAATGTTACATTTTGGCAATTCATATTTTGTCATTACATATATTTATTCTTTTTTATTAATTTTCTTGAGAACGTGCTTCAAACATACTCTGCTAATAAATTAAACTATTTATGACATAATCTTTAAAGTATAATTGAAGGCATGTTTGTGATGCACTTCAAGTGAATATTAAAAATATTAAATTGAATTTGTGCTTAAACTCAGTATAATTATGCTCAAACGAAGCAAATTAACATCACAGGTTGAGATCCGACTTGGGTATTTATTACAATTAAAATTTTTTCGTTTTTGTTATTAGTCATTTTGTATCTTTAAAAGGTCATCTTCTCTGATAAAAATTTCAATTATGTCATAGGAGCCACCATACAATGAATATTTTTGGTGGAATGAAATTCAAAAAAAAAATTATTCAATGTAGTGTGTATATATAATTAAACATATCAAATATATCAGATATTATTTTATAGAAAAATCCTAGCAATAATTCAAGAAAATCCAGAAAACTTAGAAAATTATCCACAAGTACCATTAGTGATGATGAACTAAATATGAAAGAAATAAAAAGACAAATATATTGAAGTCTCAAGCATTAAAGATAATATTGATTCAAGTCAAATGAAAATTTTAAGTGGTCAAACAAATAATGATGATGATGATGATGGTTCTCGGACATCCAATAGTTATTCTCCAAGTATACCTTCACTGGCTTCTCAATGAAAATCAATACTAAACAATAAATCTGCAGAATTTCAATCAAATCAAACTTTTTAAAAATTTCCATGAAATTGGTTCAAATATGATAAAAAAATTTTCATGCTTGCACTAAATAATAGTTTATATATTAAATACCACTCTTTAAACAATATTGTAAGTGAGCTAATACTATAAAGGAACTAAGAAAAGAAAAAATTTTATTTTGTTTGCACAATAAACAACGATTTATTTTCTAATTAAATCAAATAATATAATATTAAATTGTGTTTTTATCAATTCACTAATTTTTCACGATCTCTAAATTTTATTGTAAAAGGTTTGGGTCCTGACCAATTCGTTATTAGATTATCAAAAGAATTGATATTAATAATAGAAAACCTACAAGTAAATTTTATTGACTTTAATTTTTTTGGTAATGTTTGATTTAGCACTGAAAGTATTTCATCACCATTAAACATATTCACATGAAAATTTTTAAGTATAATACTTTCTAATTTAATACAATTGTTGAATACTTCTGTTAACTCCTGGTTTACTTCATCATTATAAAATATTGATAAACTTACTAGATTTTTACACCATTGTGCAATTGATTGAAATAGTTTTCCCAAAAATTCACTATTACACAGACTACTGCTAACATTCAGATATTTAAGAGTTTTTCCATTGATGCTAATAAATTCAGACAAATCTGATAAAGATAGTTGTTTGCATTGATATACTGCCACAGATTCAATATTTGGAAGTGAAATATTTTTCAACAATTTTATCCCATCAGCAGGAAAAGAATTAAATGTTAAAGTCTTTAAATTTTTAAGTGCTGGTAATAATATGCAATCCATATTAATATTATTGAATCCACTTGAATAATAAATTATTGATTGTGAATGTGAGAGAATTGCTTTTTTGAAATTATCTGGAAAAATTTGACCAGAGTATAAATGAATAGCTAATTGCTTTATTTGATTTTGTGCTTTAATTAGTTGAGTCAGGCTATCTAGAAGTTTATTGTCACATATATCAAACAATTCTAATGATTGAATACATTTGCAAATATTTGCTAATTTATCAATAAATTCATTATTAATAAATTTATAACAAACTAATTTATTAAGATTTTGAAAACAATTATCAAATCTATGATGATTATTTAACTGATAAAAATTTATATTAGAAGCATTAAACTCTTTAATAGCTGCTGAATGATCTAAAATAAAACTTACTAGCCTATCTTGTAAAATATTTAATTTGCAAGAATTTGTAAGCAGTGATTGAAAATTAAAAATTTTAAAATAAAATCTAGTACAAAATCTAGCATAATTATATAATGGTGATTTATCCAATAGCTCAAAAGTCAATTCAATGCTATTCCTTGTTAAGAAATCTTTATCTTCTTTCAATAAACAATTAATTATTATTTTGATAGAATCATAAGAATAAAGTGGATTTCTCCATAAAATCGGAAGATTAATATTGTGCCATTGTTTATTGACAAGAATGCAAGAATATAATGTTTCATAATCATCATCACTGTGTTTAAATACTTCAGATAAAAGCTCAAGTGGCAAAATCATTGTTTTTTCGTAGAAAGAAAATTTTATTTGTTGCACAATAAAAATGATTTTTTCCCAACAAATTAAAATCAAATAATATATTAAACGAGAATTGACCTATAAGAAATCATTATTTCTTGGTAATGTTTGACCTAGTATTGAAAGCATTTTATCACAATCAAATATATCCATAAAATCAATTACAATTATTGAATACTTCAGTTAGCTCCCGGTTTACTTTATCATTATAAAAATAAGTTTACTAGATTTTACACTATTGTGCAATTGATTTAAGTAGCTTTCCCGACAATTCTCTATTGGATATTTAAGAGTTTTTCAATTGACGTTAATAAAATTATAAATTCTGATAGAAATGGTTGATCATAAATATGTAACCTCACGGATTCAATATTTGACAATGAGATTATTTTATTCTGTACAAGTAGCAGTAGGTAATGTTAATAATAAAGTCTCTGGATTCTTTAAGCACTGGTGATAATTAAGTCTCTGAACGAATCAATAAAATTTGAACTGAACTGATTTGATTTAATTCAAATCAAACACGAATCAAGTACAAATTGTGCTTTGACTTGATTCAGACCGGTTTTGAATCTATAAATGATTTGATTTGAAATCTAATTCAAATATATACACATATGAAATAATTTGAATTCTGCACAATTTTAAAAAGAGTTGCCTTTGGAAATAAATGGTTTTGAAAGTCAAAAAAAATATCTGCCTAATACAATAATTGCATTTGGTTTTTTCCATCTACAACTGTGAAATGATTCCACACTTCACTTCTTGTTCTTCTTTGAACACATGATTGCACCGTGCCTGTTTAAGAAGTAGTTGAAGAGACATTTTCAACAATGCATTTATCATCATTCATCATTGTTACAATTTCACTGTATCTTCGTTACATACTATGTATGATTGTATTTCGTACAATTCGTACAGATTCGTTGTGGTCGTACACCTGTACGAATGTATGAACAATGATTTTCTACAAATATTTATTTTGTAAATAATAACAATAATATTACTATTATCATTACCAGGTCGTAATACTACTTCATTATTAGAAAAAACCTGATTATTCATGTTATATTTACTTAAACCCCTTTTATTTGACTATTCTTGGCACATTATTTATGATTTCTAATTTTTTTCCTATTATTAATTAAAGAAAATTACCTTTTTTAATTATATTATCAATTCAAATAATTAATAGTAATATTAAATCTTCATACAATAGTTAATTCCATAAACATTGTCACAGTGGACTATAATCAAATTCTTATGGTAATGATTTTAAATGAAGTTTTCTTATGTATCCCCTTCATCCGCTTTTTGACTGTACATCTTTTTTTTTTGTATAAATCACACGATATGCGTACGTACATACCAGGGACGATGATTTTGCATAATAAATAGCCACAGACGGAATGTGTATTTAAAAACAGGAAATACTATAATAATGTCTGCAGATAATATAAAAAAGGGGAAGCTAAATAAGTGTATATATATAACATGATAATCGAGGAGTTTTTTAGAATTACGACCTTAATTATTATTAGTATTAGTAATAGTAATAGGGTTAAATATTAACGTTAAGAAATTTTGCGTAACTATTATTGTTATTATAGGATTTGGCTAGTTTGTCTTCAAATGAACAGCCACAACCCATTAAAAAAAACAAAAACTAAGCAGACAAAAGCATAGTTAGACATGGACTTACTCCTCAAAAGTGATAAAAACGATCAAGTACAACTAGTACCAGATTCGTCTAAAACTGGAAATTTTTTTACTCGTAAAGAATGTGGTGCCGTTTTTTTTTGCTGATGATAAATTACAATCATCATTCTTCAAATCAAATAAAAAAAATATTTTATTTTAAATTCTTTTAACAAATGTTTTTAATAAATATATATACTTTATGTTAATATCATATTAAACTATTTGTAATATTTTTTTAAAATTATAATAATGCAGATATTATGACGGGGAATTATGCAGAATAGTAATAGCGTATTTTTTGATGCATAGTATGCATGCGGAATTTTTGTTTTTAGCATGGCACTTCATCACCGCAGAAAATCATTGTTTCCTGGTACATACATGTACGATATGTGCGAATACGATATCCCAACCCTGATTAGAACAATGTGATCTTCTGACATTTTGACCCCTGTGACTTTGTTTGACAATCATTTGCAAAAAGGTTATCACGTGAATGTAGTTTTGTCCAATGAAATTTAAAGAAAAATTTGGCAACGATTGTTGTTATTTTTGAAGAGTAGAACCCATCATTTTTGGTAAATATTAAATAAAACCTCAGCCCATTAAACAATCGGGAGTAATTTAAATTAACATTAAAATTAACATTAAAATTAACATTAATATTACAGTAAATAATATTAAGTCAAGTTAATACTCTATATATTAATTAATATACACTTAAAACTGCTGCACTAAATTAATTCTGTACTTTTCTTTCGTCAATTAATATATGTGTGTTCGGCTTTGAAACAAAAAAAAAATACAATCTAAACTTGACAAGAACAAATATGATTGCACCATTAACTCAAAATATTCCATGTCTTGTGATTTACAATGGTTTGTGCCTTTTACCAATGCAATGTATTTTCCAGAATCCTATAAAAGCTCTTATGCAACTGTTCATTCGACACAACAAGAATCCATTTCAATACTTGATAGTTATTGCAAACTGTAATCAAAAGCCCAAGCTATGATTAACTTGAAGAACTTCAAGTATATAGTGCAGTTACAAATAATGCCAATAAATATCATAAATACATGGATGATGCTATCAAGGATTATTATTTGAAAAGTGACATATATATTAATCAATATATAAAATAGAGATCAATTCTTGTAAACTTTTTTTACAATTTATATTTTAATAAATTTTTTTCAGCTGTTAACTATTTATGAAGATTCCAACCATCCGAAACCCAGATCTTGTGAATTTGACGACTCAATCAAATAATTATAATTACCACTGTTATTCTTGCTATATACAGAAACAATAAATCTTAAAGGACAAGCTGAATTACTGAAGAATTTTAAATTGTAATTTAATAACAATTCTGATTATAATTATATAAAAAATAATTTAATTCGTGTAAATTAATTATTTTCTCAGTCAACTAATATGAAGACCAAGAAGGAAATTAGCACAAAGGTTGTAATAATTTTTAGTAGAAATAGTAATTATTAAGATTTCTAATTCTAGTTAATTAATTTGATGTTTAATTTTAATGATAATGATAACAATCTTTTGAACAAAAATTCTAAATTTCATTGTAGATTATCGAGTTATCAAGAGTATCACAAATAAAATTAATAAAATTTCCATTGACTCTAATGGAAAAAAAGTATATTATATATAGTATATAAATAGTTATGATGATAATTTATTATTTGAAAAAAGTTTATAATCTGCCTTGTATAAAATTACGCGTTCTAAAGTTTGGAATAAGTTGGGAATTTTTATTGATTTGAATTTACGCATTCTAATTAGATTTAAAAAGGAAAAAAAATTTTTTTGTAATCAAATGATATAAGAAAAAAAATTACTGTAAATATATAATAAATTCCAATAAAATTAATCAATTATTGGTAAAAAAATAATTTCTTCTCTCTTTTTTAACAACTTCTTACTAATTAAAATTTTTTTTCTTCATAAAAAATAAATATATTTATTTATATTTATATTTCCTTACTTTCTTTTCTCCATTTAATAGTTAATTATATTTAATAATAATAATAATAATAATAATAGGTAATTTAACTTATTCCAATTCTTATTATTCTACAAAGGAATCTTTCTTTAATCTCTCTAATCTATAAAATATATTATCTATACACATATACATATTAGCACTTCATATTCTTATTTCTATATTGGAAGAACCATTAATTCATCTTGAGCAAGTAGATAAATATAATAATTATTGAGGTAATAATAAAAACAAATATTTTTATTCAATGATATATTCAAAACAAGAAATATGTATTTTTGTGTGTTAATATATTGTATTCTTTTTTCCAAAAAAAAAACTTTTATTTAATAAGATCCAAAGTAATACAAACAATCAATTGGAAGTATATAAATGAATTGAAAAAACAATGATGGCGTCAGTAATGAAAAGAATCCTACCTACTACTCTCGTAAAGTTTAACAACAACAACAATAATAGCAATGATGATGATGATAGTGGAATCTCTTCTTATTCTTCTTACTATCCTTCTTATTCTTATTCATCGTTTTCGTTACTGTCATCAGCAACATCGACTTCAACGTTATCTTTGTCAAACCTTGCAAATGAACAATTACAAGAAATCCCAACGAGGACAAATTCGATGGTTAGAGCAAAAAAAGCAAAAGTTATATCCTCATCGTCATCACTAACAGCGGTATCATCGACAAGACAAACATTAATTGTCAGACCATCAATTGCGATGACTTTACCGATGGAAATTATATGTGAAATATTTAATTACCTTGAAGAACATCCGGCACATTTTACAAGAGGCTCACTAGTATGTAAAACATGGTATTACTCTACTCAAAATCATCTGTATTGGAAAAGACTATGTGAACTTCTCAAGTTACCATCACCAAAGCCAAGAGCTTACAAATACAAAACATACAAATCTATAGTTATTAAAAATTGGGGCTCTTTCTGTAGCTTGTGTTTAAGAAAACGTAGAAAATATGATCCACCCATCAAACCAATGTTAGTTGATATGGATATTGCTGATAGAATTGATTTCAAAAAAAGTAAATGGTACATAATTATTTACAAAAAAAAAGAAAAAAAAGAAATTAACAATAGTGATAATAGTAATGTTGATAATGGCGGTGAAAGTAACAATAACAATAATAGTAACAATAACAATAACAATAATAGTAATAATAATAGTAATAATGGTAATAGTGGTGGTGGTATTAATAGTAGTAGTAATAGTATTTTAAAACAAGAAGATGACGAGGAGGAGGACGACGAAAATGAAGAGGAAGAGGATATTGTCAACAAGCCAAAACTTAAACATCACCTTTGTACTTATTGTGAAGCAATATATTGTAGATATCAAAAAGATAAAGCAATAAAAAGACGTCGTAAAAAAATAAAATCGTCACTTGCAAAATGTGGAATTCAATTACCAACTAATGATGATATATGTGAAAGATTGATAGATGATGGAAACATCAAAGGAATTCTTCACTATTTGAAGTTGAAACTGGAGGAAGAAAAAGAGGTAATTTATACTTTTAAAAATTTCTTCTCTTGAGAGAAAAATAATAATAATTGGCAATATTTTTTAATTTTTCAATTTTTCATTTAGGAATTGTTTAAAGCATTATTGGAATTAGAAAGAAATGGATGATCAATTATTTTCTCGTTTTCAAATTTAAAACAAAGCTGCATATTATTATTTGTTCGTTCATCGTATTATTAGAAATAATAACAATCATAAACTAATCTTTATAAATATATATTAATATAGAATATGTATAGCATTCATGTATTTCTAGAAGATAATATCGAGAGAGAGGGCGAAATATAATATAATAATAATAATAATTTTCTTTCTTTACCAATTAGATTCTATGCAAATTTGAACATTTTGATTCTATTTATTTTATTATGAAAAAAATTATAATTACAAATATATATAATAAATCAATTAGTTAATTAATTAATTAAAAAACTAAAATCGACGAGTCACTCGCCGACCATCTTGTAATGGTATTTAATATATTCGGATTTCCTTCTATAAGTAACTGGGTTCTTGAAACTGCAATTTGTTTTGTAAAACCAGACGATATTCTACAGCAACCTCTTGGGCCGCTCAAGAAATAGTTTGAATTTATGCAAACTAATTTATCTAATATTCCTTGTACACCTGGACCTTCGAGTTCGTCAATTAAGTGTTTTTTCTCTTCCACTTCCTCTTCCTCTTCCTCACCCTCACCCTCTTCTTTTCCAATATAATTTAAATATCCGAAAGCATTTAAAGATTTCCAAGTTTCGATACCTTCTATTGAAGAAGTTAGTATATTCATTGCTCTAATATGTTGAGCTGTAATATCACTAAAAGTGTCAGACTGTGTCTTCATAACATTAGAAATCTCAGTATTTATGATGCTGCCATTCTTGTTGTAAGATATGGGGAAATCGGTTGCCAAATAAACATTTTTTATTCTAGTATTTTTTTTTATTTCATTTATCGTTCTAACTAATTCCTTAGCACAACCCGGCAGATTGGCAGACCTTGTTTGTTCCATTCTCCAATGTATCGCGATATACGATGACTCAAGCCGATCGGTGATTTTCGAAGCTTCGTTCAATATATGCTCCGCGTAAGGAATAGGTTCGCGCATGTCTGGAAAAAGTGGTTGACGAAAATTGGAAGAAATTAATAGTACTTGTGAGTCTGATTCCAAAGCTTTGGTCAAAAATTTAGAAAACATTTCCCGTTTTTCTACTGATTTAGTTAGAACTCCACTTCTAAAAAGGCGAACTTCTTTGAGTTTTGTCAAATTTAGTTTGTTTAATTTGAGATCGTATGGACACGTTTTATAATGTTTAATAAAATTCATCCGTTTTTTGTAATAAATACTCGAAGAATTTGCAATTGTAAAAGTTTTATATAATCCATTTGGTCCATGTTGTTGTGGTCCTTCATAATCATTCAGAGTAATGTTACGAAGAGCATTAAATAAAAAGTGTTCGGCAACGATTTTTTCTGATTGATTGTCGACCCATAATTCGTATTCTTTTTGAGTGATGAATTTTGCATTCGGAAACATTTCTTGTAATAATTTCAAATTATAATAGAAACTTGGTGAAAATGTTGTACACGCTCTGACTCTTGATATGCCGACATTGGATATCACCAGGATACGATCCAAAGCTTCAGCCAATCGAACGAATGATCTTATGTGCAAATTGGCTTTGGTTTCTTGTTCTGGCATGAAATAGGGGAATATGAATTTGCATTTATCCTTGCAATCTTGTAGTATTGATGATGTTGGTTCAAGTTGTACATTTTTCGGCGAAGGAAAAATATTATTATGTGATGGTGATGGTGATGGTGATAATGATGACGTTTGTTCAAATTGTTGATATTCCGGCGAAGAAGAAATGTTATTACGCGATGATAAATAATTCATGAAATTCCATATGGTAGATGTTATTACAAGTAATATTAACAGTTTCCTATATACTCCCCACCCATGTATATGATAATTTTGTTTTGTGTTGTTTATTGGTTTATACATTTTCATAACCCGCAGTAAAAACTTTTTGATTTTTAATAAATGACTTAATACTAATAATAATAATATTAATAATAAATTATTTAATTGATTTAATTGATTTTTTAATAATAATAATAATACAATTGATTTTTTAATAATAAAAATTATTTTTTTGATTTTTTAATAGCAAAAAATATTGATTTTACGAACTACTATTTATATATTACTTTTTTTTATTGACAATTAATTTATTAAGTTATTTCATTTAATATATAAATACAGGAAGGCTCGGGTCTATTGCGTAACCCGGGTTTTTCATACATAAATTAGTATATTCATTCAGATTAATAAATTATATTTTCTAATAGTGTTAGATTAAAAAAAAAAAGCCATAATTCGTCGTCATAATAATGCGATTGATCATGTTGTGTAAATATATATAACAACTATTTATTATACATATATTACAGAAAAGTTCGGTCACAACCATTTGGGGTGTTCAAAGTTGCTCCGTTTCATATCCATCTTTGGTAGTGATCTACAGAATATTAATTTATAGTGCATAATTAAATAAAACGTCAACTTGTAAAAGATTTGAAGAGGTATTATCAATCTCTGGTTCAGATAAATTCGATGAAAATTTTGATGAATACGAATTGCCTTTTGAACTGGATAAATACTTGTCATTGTTGTTGTATGTCACTATTATAGAGGAAGTTGTCCTTTGAATACTTGCCATTGTCATTATTAGAAGCGACTTTTTGATACTTTGTTGCACAGACATTCTCGTTTTCTTGTTTCCTTAAAAACCGTTTTAAAGGAAACAAGGGAAACAACAATTTGCTGTTCCTTCTCTCCAGTTCCTTCTGATCAATCAATACATAATAAACAGGAAACAATACTTTGGAACACCCCCTAATTCAATAAGCCAGAATTGGCTAATTTAATCAAATTATATGCATGTTTTGTTAAGCCCCAAATTATTAATACAAATTAGAGCCGTTAAGGCTTATAAAACAATATATCCAAATTTGGAGTAATGGGAAAAATATTAATATTAATATTAATATTAAACTCGGGGCAAAGGCCAAGCGATAATAATAAATTCGTACGACGCAATGCTTAAATTTTAGTTGCACGGAAAAAAAAATAACATGGAGCCAAGTATTTTTAGGCGTAAATAGCAAATTATTCTAAAATCTATAATTAAACGTAAGTGTAAAATTCCTAATTTGCAAAATTCACATGACAGTATTATCCAAATTTATTTTAATTGATAAGTTTATTGGCCGTTAATATTAATAGTAAGTATTATTATATTTAAAAATAACAAATTGCTATCCTAATTCGTTTAAAAATGCAACAAATTTATAAATTAATATAAATAATTATTCTTCAAATTTGAAAATACTGTTTTTTTTTTTTACAAATAATGACATCAATTGGTTGGTATTTACGGCAACATTTTTAAAAACAAGCATAAACAAACAAAAGGCCTTTTGGGACCAGGACTTGATGAACTTGTAAATTGCTGCATATGTTGTTTTATTAGAAACACCACATAACTCTGAACAGAGGAGAAGGAAAAATGTTTAAAATCGAATATGCTAGATTTCAAACTTCTACTTCATATTCAAACCTGATCAAATGTTTCCAACGGCAGTATTATGAATTAATTTATAGAATAAATGAGGTTCAGAATTATTGTTTTTATTGATTGACAGGCGACTTTCATAATCAATTTTTGCATCGACTTTTCCTTTTTTGACATTTATATTTGGTTTTCTTTAATTTTGTTGTCAATCCACTTCATCATTTTCCAATTGGTTGATTTCATTTTGAATTTCCTGTTCAGGATTATTAAAGTTAATTATGACAACTATGAAAACTATGTATGGTATTACAGATACAGTAACGATCATTTATTAAGAAGGAGAACAACTATAGTTTCATCGTAATCATGACATCAGGGAACTCTTGAACTTAAGAATTCCCCCAAATTTTTATTAATAGGGGTCCTCAAAGATTCCTTGATTTATTATTAGGGGTTCTTATATATTTATATGATACATATAGTACACAGTGAATCTCGATTTAACGGATAGTTTGGGCAATTAGGGAAAATTTTCCAAAAATCCGTTAAACCGAGATATCCGCTATATCGAGAAGGTTTTTATTAAGGTTTATTATGAAACCGTTCTTTGAACTTTATCCGTAAAACCGAGATTTTTAATTAGTATCCGCTAAATCGAGATTCACTGTGCATATTTATTTAAAAAGTCTGATTTGTAAGCTTATTTCGAAGCCTTAAAATTTACATTTCATATATAATAATAATAAATTAAATTAAATTACTTGCACAAGATCCTTCCAGTGAGGTTTTTATCATGAAGAATTAAGTATATTATCATGATTTCGTAAAATTATAGGTATTTAATTAATTATTAATTAATTATTAATTAATTATTAATTAATTATTAATTAATTCAGTAATTAAAAAAATAAAAACCATTTGCCGTCTTTCCAAAATCCGTAAGTCGTGCGACTTTCATCTAAGCCGTGCCTGGTTTTTTTCGGCTTTTGGCGTGATCAAAAATTTGTCGTACAAAAATGTTTTTGTAATTGAATTCCAACGAATTGATGCAAGCAATGCAACCAATAATTAGAAAAAACCTAATTTTTTTGAGAAAGAATTTTGATCTACATAATCTTATTTTATTGCGAAAAAAAATTACATGTATAAAAGTAAAAATAGGCTATTATCTTGGCCCTTTGCTCTTTGCGACAAAGAAAATGCAATCCAAACCCAATTGTGGTTGTGTAATAGGTGAAAAGCAAAAGCTCACTTGCGTTCTCGGTTGTAAACTTGTTTACTAATTAAAAAAAAATATATTTTGTCATTAATATTAATATGCAGTTTTGGTTCCGATTTTATTGTTAATTGAATGCAAATAAAAAAAAAATATTATTTTGCTTTTTCATTATAAAAACTGAACACAGATTTTTAATACGTTCTTAACATTAATTAGAATAGCGTTAATGTTGCATGAAGCAATAATAATAAAATAAAAAAATACGAATAAAATAAACGTCAGGTAGCTGATTAACGAAAAAAAATCGCATC